TGTTGAAGATGAATCAACGCAAAACCTCGTTTCAGCAATATGCCATCTCTTGTGAGAGTGGCTTGATATTTCTGGTACGGCCCTGTCTAAGAAGGCTTTAGCGTGTCACATCTCCTGTCATCCTTCAATGCATCTTTTTTCCAAAACGGCATCGCCTATCTGTGACGTTAATAGTGTTACATTGCTGTTCCTGTCTCCGATTATAGTGTTAAATTGCTGTACATTTACATTGTACACGTGTCCACAAGTACACAGACGTTTTATATGCCAAAAATACATACCAGTATGTGACAGGCAGTTTAAAAACACATGATCTGACAAAAGTCTGACATTCACGAAAGCATCATCTTGAACAATTCTATCCTATTCTATCATTTTCTCACAGCTTACCGTACCAGACATCGGATTTCGTTAAACCGATATCAAATAGTGTTCGTGAATGGTTAGGTTAATAAGGAATCTCTTCAAAGATACATATGTTATTATTTGTGTACTTTATACTTCTGGATTTCAGAACCCATCAATGACATCAACCAGGATTACCTCACACTGGGCGTATCCTTGAATACCCAAAAGGTGGCAAGTCGGCATTGATTGGCAAAACCACTTCTCCACCAGAGCCAGCTTGAGGACTTCTTTGCTGTTGATACCAGTTATTGCACAGCTGTCTTCCCTTGATGCCCAATGCTGTAAACAGCCTTCACGTGGTCTGTACAAGGAAGCCCCTGCACCCCATCTCCAATGAGGAAATCCATACTCTTTATCCTTTGCTCTCACGTCCTCAGCAAGGTTGGCATTCTTTTCCTTTTTGCGTTCACACGTCCTCTTGCATCGCTCCTCCTACGAGACAGTCAGCTCTATCATGACCATTCTTTTTTTTCTTTTGCTGTGACATGAAACAGATATCTGGACGCAAATTAGTTTGGATGACTTCTGGGAAGAGCAGTCTTTCTCCGAAGTCAACCCGCATCACCATTTTCTGAGTTCTGCACAGTATCCCTCCCTGGTGCGCTGTTGTCACATTGAGCGATACAGCACTTATGGGCCTTTAGTGAATACATATATCGTACTGGCATATAGTCTACCTCAAGCTCTCCATTGGTACTACCCGCCCAACGAAGGCTATCGGGAGATGTGCAAACAAAATAACCTCACAAAACTTTCTACATACATCAATCAACTGTTCTAGTATTGAAATTTGCTGTGAACCAGTTTTCAGTTTCAATATATTTACGTAACCATGAAACAAATAGTCAAAATCACTGATTTCAGCGTTTCCTTGAGTATCTCCCAAACTCTGCAAGGTAACTCCACAAAACGTCCTATACACATCCATCAAGTGGCCTTGTAGTGCATTTTCCTGTGGAGCGAATTTTTAGTTTCAATATTTTCATATCTCCATAATATTTTCATGATTACGATAGGAGAAAATAGTCAAAATCACCTATATAAGGGTTCTAGATCATATCCTCAAGGACTCTTTCAGGTGATTTCACAAAGCTTATAACACAAATCGATTGAGTGGCCTATTACTCCTTAAGTTATAGAGGATTTTTGAATTTTCATATTCCTTTGGTTGCCATAGGAACAGATAGTCAAGTTCACTTATTTCAGCTTTGATAGCTTATCCGTCCACCCCGTTATTAAGGCCACCGGTGTCCAGTATCCAAGGCGGTTTTAATAGTGATGTTTCACTGTACTATATCATCCATTAGATATAAAGTCATATAACTCTGCAAAACAGACAAAATAAGAAGTAGATATGTTTTAACTGGATGTCCGAAGTATGTTGAGCTAAACTTTCAAGGCATATTTATCAGCATCCTTAATGTTCAGAGTCGCTAAAATCTGGAAGATAATTTGTTGATTGTGTTGAGGTGTCCACAATGGGACGCCAGAAAAGTAACACCACAACGTCATGATGTATATAGTACACTTAATATCATGGAATGACATAAAAGGGTAAGTTACCATAAGATATATATATTCTGTATTTTGTCATTATTTTCATTGTCATATTAATATGCATAATTTGACTTTTGTACTCTCATTAAACCTACTATTTTATATGATATCGAAAACGATGATGTTTTCCAAAAAGCTGAAACATAGATAAATACAATCCTTCTAGCTATATTTTTCTGTCAATGGTTTACGACTTTTCTTTGTCTGCAATATCAAGTTTAATAAGATACGGAAGGACGTCTGATCAAGGACGACCATGTTTGCCTTTTCCCCAAAATGTTCCATTTTGAATCTTGATTACTGAAATAAAAGTTTGTTTGAAAATTACAGTACTAATTGTATTTTCATTTTGATAACCGTTGCTTGATTATTTGTTTGTCTACAACATTATATATATTGTTACCCTTAATCCCCTGACTACACCACTATATACATATGTATGCCCTGCTCGAGCCTTTATTTGATAATGTTGATAGTAAATGCTGTCACTTTACGGTTCTATTCTAGCTTGTGTATTCCTATGTAAAGTCAATGTACACTTATGTAAAGTAACTATACAAGAGCTGTCCATCTTCCGTTAGTTTGTCTATCTTGTACGTAACAATGACAGAGTATTTATACTTACTAAATACATCGTACAAGATTATGCGTTATACGTGATAATACTATGTATTTGTATTTCATATTACTTATGTATCAATTATATGTTGTTATGAATGTTAAAGAGTCGTAAGGCTTCAAGTTAAATAAACAATGAACGAACAATGAACAGTTGAAGTGATTTTGCTGATGTTGTGTCAATAGAATGGATTTGTACATGTACGTATACGCGCGCAGCTGCAGATGTTTACTGATGCGTGAAGAAATATTTCCTATTTACACATTTGGTATCGATACATAACTTATGACTGTAATCGCTTCAACTGTCAAGATATTTGTATATCTACATGTGTAATGAACTGCATTTTGAATATGATTAGCTAAATTCCTACAATTCTTATTTCAGTTTGATATAAATCATCTTGTCATTTCTTACTATACAAGCATGTTATTCATTCCTTGTGATATACATAACACTGTATGTACTGTATATGACCTTTTAGGGCGCATGCCCCAATAACGGCGCCTGTGCCTTTTTTCGGGAAAATCCAAGTTCAATGTTCGCACTGTCACATCTGCACTTGTATTATCGAGAAAAGTCTGGGCTACGTCAACGTAACTTTTCATCGTTTTCGTTTGAATGGTTTTCAAAAACGCTTTCACGTGCCAATATTCTGTCTAGACTTTGTCTATTTGGAACGGCAAACGGTTTCGCAGGAATTTTGCTATAGTCTGTTTCAAATGTCTACTTACAGTTGAACTGGAAACTGTCTGCTACATACATATCACCTATTTTAAGTCTGATTAAGTGCGCCTTCGCCTTCAATTACCCGAGCCCTGCGCCCTTATTAGGCCATATACGGTAGGTACAGTATGAGAGAATAATTTTCTATCATCTTGTGATATCTACATTCAACAACTGCCTTGAGCTGCTGTGATGAAAACTTGACGGCACCAAATATGATGAAAACGTAGTTGCGACACCAAATATGATGAAAACTAGCTTGTTGCGGCACCAAATATGATGAAAAATTGTTGCGGCACCAAATATGATGTATATATGAATTCTTATCTTGTGATTTTCGATGTTTCAAACAATGCTTGTAGAATATTTAAAATGTACACCCATGCATTTACAAAGTACGTTTAAACAGTTCAGACAAAAGCCCGAGCGAGCGAACGTCCCGCCAGTAGAGACTAGCTTCTTTCCTGTCTGGCCTCCGCTCTTCTCTTTCCTCTCTTCGCAGACTAAGAGAGGTCTATTCATACTAATTGGTATGAAACTATTGGTAAAGTAATATCACACATTATATAATTGACTAACAAAGATTGAGTGATATATGAGTTATTGACATCGACTTAAACACGAGAATGGTCTGGTCGTAGATTAGTAAAAATCTTTCACCCCCTTTGGGGTGAGATAGGGGGATCTCAACCCGAGGGGGGTTATTAAGTTGTCAAACACGAGGCTTGCCGAGTGTTTGACAGCGTAATAATCCCCCACAACCCTTTGGGTCCCCCTATCTCATCCCAAAGGGGGTGAATTACTATGATTATTTTACTCTTACACTGTTCCCCCGCTTAGTGTGAAGACGAAATAGAATGTTTGTAAACAAAAACACGTGGACAGCGTATGAATATTTAGTGACGTGACAGTCACAACCTCGTCACGCATTATTGTGATATCTCGCACAAAATAAAATTCCCATCAACGGTAGAGTTAAATATAAAAAGGCGTAATATTCATTATATACAATCAATTTTAATGTGAAAGTATTGATCAGGTGGCTTCAATATATATACACAAAATCAACACAGATTATCAAATCGATATTTTGAAATGACGTCATTTATATGTCACGTATTCCATGTCCCTTGTGTTCATTCACTATCGCTATTGGTGTTAGACAAAATGACGCGCGCACGAGGCCTCCCGAAATGTCTTTCTTTATGAGGTGCTTGGATAGTAATGTTAGAAGTACCTCCTTGAATTGTACACCCTTTGAAGATAGTGGATGTTGAAGCATTTGTGTCACACAAGGAAACGCTGTTGTGTTGAGTGTTTTGATGATTCTGTGAGGTGAGTGTTACGAGTTTTGCTGATGAACGACCAGGAGCCAGACGAACGATCAAGACGTATATTTACAGCACATGTTTTTTACATACGGGTTCCGTCGGATATGCTCAGCTCAAGGTCAAGATAACACCTAAGTGAACCTAGTACACATATATCATATTACTGCACACAAGTACAATATGAGGGTACTCCAAACGAACCATATTTATTATATCAACAGTGAGTGAATTTCCGAAGGGATAGCAGACGAACTAGTGTATGTGTGTGACCTTATTAGGCATAGTAGAAGTAGTTCCACTTCCGGGTCAAGATAGTGACGTCACATAATTGTTAAGAACGTGCACAGAGCGCGTGTAGCTTGTCTCACCCTAGGGTGAGATAAGGCAATCTCACACCGGTAAAACGTGTGGATATCCCTGTCTAAGGTAAGAGAATAGGTTGTTTTCCACAAGATAAGTATACACTGACCTTCATGCGAACTGTCTAGATAGGTATCAGGTAATTATGGAATAAATTAATACATAGACTTGTGTAGTAGATTAAGTAACAACAGTATGCCTTGGGCTACTGGTCAATACATAATTCACCACTGGTCGATATATATATCAATAATTAAATTAAGCTAGTCTCATTTTGACAGATAAGTTATTTTTAAACATATGATATATGTATAACTAAACACAATTTTGAATGATTTTATTAACTTAAAGTTGCTGAGATATAACTAAAATTGAAATAGAAATATTATGTACACATACACTTGTAATAGGTGAGAACTGTTGATAGAGTTCAAGGTATATTGGTGACAGTTTTGATGTATAACCTATTTTACGTAATTACTACATCTGTTACCGACACAGGTACATGGAGCAGTGGGCATCTTGCATATTACCTGTATCATAACACTTATCAAATGTGGTGTTCCCTGACTGCATACATGTCCAGGACAATAGGTAGAAACATCAAAGGGAGGGTAATTATAGTCTGTTTCATATAGGTACTGCATTTACCTGAGATATTTTACTTGTGGTGGATCTACCTGTAATTTTTTATTTTCGACTGCAAAGTTACATGAAGAACATTAGTTACAAATATTAAAAAATTAACATTAATAATAACTTCAAAGAAGAAACTTATTTACAGCACTAAAAGTTCAATTTAACGCCACACACAGCAACATCTAAATAATGTATACTGATATGTACTAAAGTCCATCATTTCATATCACTTCAAAGAAGAAACTTGTGGGTGGTTGTATACTGTATGTACTGGTTCTCAGACTGAAATACATTAAATTTAATGAGTCGATTCAATTGAGATTAAAATACAAAGGCATACATACAAATTTAAAATTTCATACTTATGGTGACTGAAATGTTAAATCAGATAACTTGTCAAGGAAATCGCCATTGTGTTACAATCGTTATACATATATATGATAAAATCATTAGTGGAACACTTCATGCCAGGGAGATGAATTCAGACGAACCGTTTCCAGGTTCGATGCCTGGAATCATAATGTTTAAGTTTTTGGTTCTTTTTGCCATCTATATTAATCAGTATCAAAATCTCATCCTTTACATCAGTAAACTTTCTTAGACTGCTTTTGTCTATCATGTCCAGTCCATGTATTAACTTCTGACATTATTTGGTGCTCGCGCATGCGCTATACTCACAAAGTCACAACTGAAAACAGTTCCAAATGAAAATGCCACACCGAACCAACCAGCGTGATTAGTACGAGGTAGATACTATATATAAGGGCTTTAAAGTTGATAGTTTGCAAATGATCTCTGATATTTATTGTCGTTCTCATCTTCGGTGAAATTATAGCTCTCTTCTAGTCGATATAATTGTTCCTCACTTCAGCCAAAACAGCTTTTTGTATTGTCAGGGACGTATAATACTTCTTCTGTTAACTAAAATGGCTTAACCATGACGGTTTGTCAGAAAACTACTCAAATACTCCGGATCGGAATCTAATCAAGTGTGTGAAACAGGGGTTTGTTAAGGGAAATTACATTGTGAATAATTTAAGTGTGGTCGTGTTTTTCTATAGTCCCGACGCAAGTAGTATTGACCCCTAATTACACATTAAGTCAATATGTTGATATAGCAATACACGAAATGAAACGCTCCGTTTAGACAAGAAAACATTTTCTTTGTCAAGGAATACAACGTGTAAAATTACACAACCCTACTATACAATTGATCGACAGGCACCAGCGTAAAGATGGTGTAAGTTAACACACGTATCTGGTGAGCCTGAAAAAGATAGACATTTCGGTCTCCATTCAAAAAAACATCATACACGATCTCTATCAATGCACAGTCACGTTATGTGTTTGTTCATGTAAACGCATTCCCTGCTCTGCTGCCATAAATGATGACACCTTTATACGTAATATTTATCCATCCGTCTGTGATTTGGAAAATGTGCTTTGATTAAGGGGTGCGTGGTTATGTGATTGTTTTATATTATGTTTCAATTCAACAGAGCCGATGTTCCAATTACAGAACAGATAAAGATAACAAAAAGTAAAATAAAGTATCACAGATAGAATGTTCTACACTGTATGTAAATATGGTATTACAGATAAAATGTACTACACTGTATGTAAATAAAGTATTACAGATAAAATGTTCTACACTGTATGTAAATAAAGTATTACATATAAAATGTTCTACACTGTATGTAAATATGGTATCACAGATAAAATGTACTACACTGTATGTAAAAAAAAGTATCACAGAAAAAGTGTTCTACAATGTATGTAAATATGGTATCATAGATAGAATGTTCTACACTGTATGTAAAAAAAGTATCACAGAAAAAGTGTTCCACACTGTATGTAAATATGGTATCACAGATAAAATGTTCTACACTGTATGTTAATATAGTATTACAGATAAAATGTTCTACACTGTATGTAAATAAAGTATGTAAATAAAGTATTACAGATAAAATGGTCCACGCTGTATGTAACTAATAGTCCATAGAGTATTGATCCTATGTTTTTACCTGTTCTTTTATATACAGTTAGATGAAAATCCACAGCGTTCCATTTCCTTCCTTACCAATTGTGTGATATGATGATGACAATCGTTTTCTTTCTGAGGTTATTTATGTGTAAGTATGAACGGGATTCGGGTGGTCGTAAGGAACATTATAAGGCGCACTACGGTATCAGTTGTACTTACCTCTTTCTTTTTGCCAGATATTCTCAGTATTGACAGCTCTGATTTGAGATGACAGTCAGAACTCATACATCCAGTTATCCTAACGATGCGTATCTCCCTAGTCGTTTTGATATCAATGTACATCGTCCCTGTTGTGTGCACATTTTTGTTAATACATTTTGTTGACATGAAATAACGAACCTCGTTTACAACTCAAAATTTACAATGACTTCATGTCTCCACAGCTCATTCTAGAAACTATAATTTAAAGGAAATTAATAACAAACGTGTGTTTTAATGTTTACCAATTACTTATAACATGCGAACATTTAATCATCCCTTTTGTACAAAAAACTTTCACTAATAATGTTGAAGACACTGGGCGTACCTTTCTGTAAGTTTGAAAAGATTTTCTGTTCATGCCATTTCTTCAATATAATGGACAAATATATTATATAACACAAAAACGTTTCTACTGAAATGCACAGAATTTACAGACAACCAGGTATCTGTTCATTCTTCGTTATGATATATATTATTCTGGATTGATTTTATCGTATTTCTAGACAACTGTTTATCAGGTGGTATATATGATCAATATTAATGAAGATACATATATTAAATCTTTATTAAAACTCAGATAAAATTTATAATAAAAATGAAAAGGGACTTCTTTCAGAGCATGAACTATGCTTTTGAGCTGTTCAATCATCGTACATTTTTCTGCCGAATTTAAATGCTTGACTGTTAAATAAATACATTATCTTTTATTATACACAACACACTTCAACACAAATTATTTACCAAAATGTTATTCTCTGTCTCCAAAGTGAAGATGATGAAATTTTATCAACACTGCGTAATTATACAATTACAAGGTAGTATACAAAATACAATGAAATAATCAAAACTCACATACTTCCTATAATTACAACTTCAACCATGATTCGGATGAATTATCCATCTTCGAATTACAATGTACATTTAGTATTTGCATTTTAAAAATTATTTATCCGCATTTGTCATTTTTAGTTTTGCATTCTGTGTGATACACTAGATATGTCGATTTCTGAAGCTGTTAATAAACAGGTGGTAAAGCTGGACATTGGAAATCGGCTGTGAATTTTGGTTTAACATAGAAATAAAATTGGAATAAAAAATCCACGTAAATCAATAACAAAATTAATGTTTTTTTCGTGTTAATCGTTTAATGATTTTTCTGTCATAACGCGGCGTCCGTCGTCCGGTTTCTCATAACCAATGTACCAAAAGTTTTGATATGTTAGCTGGTATATTCCTAGGATGCAGCTCGACAAAGTTTGGGAGAGTATACGACCTTGACTTACATTCAAAGTCACATGGAGTCAAATTTGTTAAAAACTTTAAAATAACTTCTGATGTACTAAAAGGTATAGAGGCATGATATTTTGCTGGTTTGTTCCTAGGATGAAGCCGGGAAATGCGAAAAATTACCTTTACTTATATTCATGTTCGCAGAGGTTAAGTTTGTTAAAACATTTAAACGACTTCTTCTCATGAACTAGAATGTCAAGAAGCATATTATTTGGCTGCTATTTTCTTAGGATGAATCCGACAATGTTTGGGAAAAAAATATTTATGTTCTAGGTCACAGGGGTCAGATTAGTTGAAACCTTTAAACAACTTCTCCTCATGTTCATAGTTTGGCGCAATGATAAACAATACACAATAGTTTATTATCCAATTCAACTTTAAGTAAATAATGTCTTTAATTTTCATCATATATTTCATTCTGTAAAATCACAACGATGTGTTTATTCCTTATCATCGTTACATCTCTACTCTTCTTATCCCAGAACCTTGATATTGCTCAGGCACAATTCTATATTTCGCTTTTAAAAGTGTTCATTAATTCTTATGTAAAGTGGGTATCTTGCATCTATGCAAACCCTACAGGCCCTACACTTCCATTTGGACACGAGAATGTGTGACCTTCTTGTATGCAATTTGAAATTTTTAATAGGATCTGTCTTGTTTTGTGTTTTAAGTGAACTGGTTTTTATAATGATAAAGCCATCCCCTGTTTCACAGTTCGTCAATTTGCCTTTAAAAATAACTTAATAGTTACACTGCCAACTGTTTCAGCACCCCATTGTCCTCCCCCCCCCCCAAAAAAAAAGGTGATTCGTAATTCCATTTTAATTATGAAAATAAATTTCCGCCATTCGTATGCCACCTTTTGAGAAGCCTTTCTGTATAAACTCTACATATATACCGGACATTTATTATTGTATTATAGATAGTAAAAACTGAACAATATGGAGATATCAATATATGAACACTTTAGCTTTCTTACATAACTAAGAATGATTCATAACTCAGTCGTATTACATATCCGATCTTTGCATCAAATTGCTCAGTGTTGGCAGTGAAACGTTAAGAGACATAATGACAATTCATATTAAATGACAATCTCATTCAAAACTGATATTCCAGATAAATAATTAATAGTCCGTTAATTTAAAAGACGTAATAGTATAATTATATGCTGTAAAATTATCAATAAATCTAAAAAGTAAAAAAAGATTACCCTTAAAAGTACAAGAGGACTGGTGCTCTGGAAGAGTAAGCGCCTTAAACTTTGTTACGACACCAGCCAAGCAACATTTTAGTTGATCCGACTAAACAATGTCACATTCCCAATGAGAACACGGTTAACAACAATGATACCACCAAAAAAAAACTAACGGACGTCCAATACATCTAACTTCACATTCCAACTTTGTTTTGGACGTTAGTGTATTTTTCAGCTATTTCCTGCATACCATCACATATATATGGAAACCCCTAACAAATAAAGTAAGTGACACAGTTTTGTAAAATTCGGTTTTAAGGGAAAGGATAGTTTGTTCAGTATCAATAACTCAAACAACTTTTTATCAGAAGATATTTGGGTAGTTGTAAAGTCTGTAACAGATACATGGTCCCCACGACTTGAATATGCATTGAGGATTGTTTGCCTACCAGTCATGTACTTGAATTCCAACTGAAGTTGGTATATCGGATGAGGGACATATAACAATGACGTACCGAAATATTGAACTGACTTTTTTTTAACTCGGTAATACATCTGACAACACAGTATTATTTTATGTTAAGAAAGTAGTAAAGACCTGTATTTTTCTCATGGGCGATTAACAGAAGAAAACAAATTGTCTTGCAGTTTTAAGTTGCTACACAACCTGCTCAAAACATCATTACTTTGAAGAATAGATACCTTAGATAACAACTTACAACAAGTTGTAATTTCAGAAGACGTTAGTTTTTCTCTGTTCGGCCTTGTTTTCAGTATGATAAACTTAAGTCATAGATACACCTGTTCGGTTGTCGTCATGCTATTGGAGAATTTAATCTGGATGTTTAAAATTCAAGTTTTTACAAGTTCCTGGTCCGATTAACATAGTCTGTACTATAATGCAATACTATTACCGAATATTCCTGAAGAAAATACATTACGGTATTCTATATAGGTTAGATATATCGTTATATGGGTATGATTTGATAATATTGTGATGACTTTTTGAAGTTGGACAGTCCTCATGCTGTGTCGTAAAGGAAAAACTACAGAACAGGACACGATCAACATTGTTCACGGTTAGTTTACCTTAGTCTGGGAACTATTCATCGCGTCTGTACTAGTGAAATATCATAATATACAGTAATAGCCACACATGTTGGTCAAAACACTGACAGATAAAGTGAAGTCAGCCCAATGGTCTACCATACTCATCAGGAGATTTCTATCCTTTGTGACCGACGTCCGATTTAGCTCTACCTGCCCACATTAGGTACCTGATGCACGTGTCTGACCGGGGATAGGTACTCAGGACACAGTTAAATCAGACACCATATAACATATCATGGTCCACACATACTGAACAAAAGTACATTAAACTTACAAACAATACATTTTTACACGTTACACTTGAATCCGGATTATATTTTACCGGAACGGACTCTGCTCAAGTGCCAGTCATGACCTACATTAACACACCAGTTTACAGAGTAGCTACAAACTATCTAATTGTTGATTTATATACATCTGAATCGTATTTGATTGGAGACTATTTGAGGGTATTATACGATTCATCTACACGTGTCTGTAGCTGGTTATACGTTTTACCACTCAGTTACTAGTAATCAGTTGAAGGTGTATTCATGTGCTAGTGTGACAACTACCTGACATGATAATATTTTGAAAACACTTCAGATACCTAGACCGTTGCTGTCCACAACCTGATACAGTTCGAATTTTCTAATGCCCAGAACGGAAAAATGGACGGTGCTGATATCTGGATTCTTAACTATTTTCCTGGGTACAAGTCTTGGATACTCTTCCGGGGTAATCCATGTGGCATTACTTGAGAAATACAACAAATCAAACCTCTTGACGGCCTGGGTTGGTTCTCTCTTCAGTAGTATGTTCTGTCTCGGAGGTAAGTAGCATAACAACCGTACATTCATCTCTGTGTAATGGCAGCTGAGAAATGAAATGTCAAACTGTTGCATGTGCCAGACTTAGTGAATGCGAGATTAACATATATACATCTACAAACACCACAAAGAAAATATCAGCATGTTAATAGGATCGTGATCTAAAGCTCAATTTGATCTACTGCAAACTAACAACAAAAGAAATATTTACGTGGAGACTACTAAAACAGTAAATGGAAGGGGAATAAGACCCTGTGTAAGGTTATGCGTCTTCTGCTTATTAACAGCATCCTACATGTAAATCTTGGTCAATACAACTAAGTATGGACACGATAAAGATTGGAAACCAATTATTAAGTTTTAGCTGAGAGGTCATTAGATGACGTGACTCTCTTAAACCTTGGAACTATTGTTATGAGAGTTTTCTTTATCACAAAAAGTGAATGACAGTACAAATATATGATCTAGAACCATATTGATGCATATTTGGCGGTAAATACGTCCGAGAAATTATGTAAAGGATCGTATTTCTGGTTAATTCGTATAGTTTGGTGTATTACATGATAACATATTACAGGAACGATGATTTCATTTCCCTATTGTGTTCTTCCAATTCAAGAAAGTGACCTTCCTACATCCCTAACCATTGTAGTTGTATGTGTTTGCTGTTCGTTGGTAACCTTGTTCTCATTTGAGAAAGTGCCATAAAATTTTAATTGACCGAGATTTAAATTGAGGGCGTTGTCAATGAAGCAGATAACGCTAACCCTACCGGAACGCCTGGTCTTATTCTCCTTGTAATTTAGGAGTATCACTGTTCATCTTTCATTTGTTATTATTTTCGATGGTTTCATCTTATTTCTGTTAAAGTTTAGACTCCATAAACATGTCGGTATTTTCTTTGTTGATATTGTGATAAAGCTGACTGTGATTAAGTGGACGTGTGGTATGCTCACCTAACTATGACCTAGACTTCTATAGAATATTAAGTGGACGTGTAGTCTGCTTGCCTTTCTATGACCTGGACTGATATAGAATGTTTATTGGACGTGTTGTCTGCTAGCCTTGCTGTGACCGGGACTTATATAGATTATTAAGTGGACGTGTAGTCTGCTTGCCTTACTATGACCTGGACTGATATAGAATATTAAATGGACGTGTAGTCTGCTCACCTCGCTGTGACCTAGACTGATATAGAATATTTAGTGGACGTGTAGTCTGCTTGCCTTTCTATGACCTGGACTTATATAGAATATCAAGTGGACGTGTAGTCTGCTCACCTCGCTGTGACCTGGCTGATATAGAATATTAAGTGGACATGTAGTCTGCTTGCTTTACTATGACCTGGACTGATATAGAATATTAAGTTGACGTGTAGTCTGCTTGCCTTTCTATGACCTGGACTGATATAGAATATTAAGTGGACGTGTAGTCTGCTTACCTTTCTATGACCTGGACTTATATAGAATATTAAGTGGACGTGTAGTCTGCTTGCCTTTCTATGACCTGGACTGATATAGAATGTTTATTGGACGTGTTGTCTACTTGCCTTACTATGACCTGAACTGATATACATGTAGAATATTAAGTGGACGTGTAGTCTGCTTGCCGTTCTATGACCTGGACTGATATAGAATATTAAGAGGACGTGTATTCTGCTTGCCTTTCTATGACCTGGACTGGTATAGAATGTTTATTGGACGTGTTGTCTACTTGCCTTACTATGACCTGAACTGATATACATGTAGAATATTAAGTGGACGTGTAGTCTGCTTGACTTTCTATGACCTGGACTGATATAGAATATCAAGTGGACGTGTTGTCTGCTTGCCTTTCTATGACCTGGACTTACATATAATATTAAGTGGACGTGTAGTCTGCTTGCCTTTCTATGACCTGGACTGATATAGAATATTAAGTGGACGTGTTGTCTGCTTGCCTTTCTATGACCTGGACTGATATAGAATATTAAGTGGACGTGTAGTCTGCTTGCCTTTCTATGACCTGGACTGACATAGAATATAAATTAGATTCGTTATAACAATACTATTGTAACTTCAAGCACTTGTTATCATTCATCCAGAGCAGCGATAGAGGATGGTGATCCGGGAATGATATGTACTCATCCATATACCAAAAGAGATTCAAGCGATCTCTTTGTAACCATGTGCAGGTTATCGGCCCCTGTTAAAAAGTGGGTATTAAGATCCTAAAAAAGAAAGATGCATTGAATTCAATATTGACAATGAATCAAAAGAAGATAATATTTATAACGGATATTGATTATGATAAGTGTTATTAATTATATAATTGTTTAGTATAAATATGGATATGTTTAATGTTGTAAATATAAAACTGAAGTGGATTGTATATATTAAATTTAAAGGCTACATGTATTGTTATGTAACAGGTATATGTTTTTGTAAGTACAGTGTAGTAGGACTATAACCTAAAGGTCAAAATGTTATTGAACAACGTAGTACCGACGGTACAACTTTCATTGTTAAATGTAGCAGGTGCAGTTGAATTAACCAAAATAGATTCTTCTGACAAATGTTGATGTGACGATGCATTTTGTTCACATGGATTGCTCGAAAAAAAAGTATGGCCAAATGATAGTCTTTGTATTTTGATTAGACCCTATTGGCTCCAAATTGTCTGGAATTAAATCAAGAATTCGAAATAGTTTTACAATGTTGGTAAATTCTGGTTATCCATCAGATCTATCACTCACGAAAGCCTTAGGGATAAACAGGGGCTAGTGAGACCGCACTTCACTTTGGTCGCTGGACTTCATACAAGACGAATTGGACCGTTGTTTCTAAGCATAGAAAAGTTTTAGACACTTAATTGCACAAAACAGCCATGCGATCACAAGAATATATAGGAAGGCCAGAACAGGTGTGAATGGAAAATTTTTCTTTCTTCCGACTACACAGCAACGTGTGACTCTTGAAAAGTGTCACATTTCTTTCGGCATTATCAGGCCAGCGGTCATGTTCCCGACCTTCAGACCTTGTACTGGAAGTCTATAACAACAAAATAAAGGACGAGTAAACAATACAACAAACTGCACCAACAAGAAGTTGAATATGTTCGATGTTTGTTAGTACATCTCTTTGTCGCTAACCTTGATAACAGTTATCGCTTATCATAACGGAACACATGGTCCTATTTTTTTATTTTGTAACAGTCGCCATTTAAACATTTCTTTTACGTATAATTCTTTGTTTGAGTTTATCAATTTTGAGTTTAATTTTTTTTACATGTTAATATTTTAGTGTTTTTTAGATACCCAGAAAAGTGTCCATTCATATATTACTTTAGTTTTTTTTCTTTGAAATATCACTCATAAGATATATAATTGAACACGTTGCGTCATACTGGCGTTTGCAATCTGACCTTACATAAAATTTACGCTTATTATTATTTTGGCTTTTTTCATTTTTCATGTTTATGCCATTTTCAGCGATTAAGTCAAATTGACAGGAAATGAGTTTTGGTCAATCTGACTGAGCTCGCTATTTCCAGAAGTTTTCACCAAAATGGAATATCTGTGGAAAATGATACGCATATAAAGTAATTTGATGAGCTTTTAAGCATTGTCTTTTGATATAACCTGAACACAAGTTGCATTAATTGAACGTTGTTCAAATTGGACTTCCAAATAGCTCAAAATTAGCCTACCAATGAACTTCAAAGGGTCATTAATATTTAAGTGTGAACGTAAGATGTCTCATTTAACAATGTCCCGTAATACAGTACATTTATTCTTAGCTTGAACTGATATTTGTCTTGATTATATATAATACGTAATTGCAATAGTTTCAATTTATTTTTCCAGCAAAATTGTATTTCCTTTAGATTGGTCATACCTTACTGTTAATTTCCAAGATCATGTGTTACAAAAGAGGCAGATATTACATTACAGATGTTATTATGTTTATTTAACAACAGATTGTTTTTACATTGATGGTGGACTCTTTTCTGTGATCATTTCCTACACTGTCGGATTGGCCAATCAAACGGGACGTTACAAAATGACGTCGAGTTTTCTATGCTATGCTATGTCGTAAAAATGGCCAATGAAAATGCTTCTTCCACAGACTTGAAAACTTAATTAAATTAACGTTCTTTCTAAAGCAAATTGTTTATACATATTAACCAACACGCCATGATGCATATTGTTTTCATTTTCAACTAACATGTATATAGTGAGTGTCTAAACTGCAAATAAAGACAGATGACATAAGTACTATAAGTAATTATTTGTTAGTCCACTCTGTCTCAGCTGATTAAATGACCTAACGTCATGGCTTCAAGGTTTATAATTGTTTTCTGCGTAATATTTTAAGATAAACTTCATGTTGAAGTCGTTACGTTGAAATATTTTGACCAAATATTCGTAGGACATTTAAATACGGATAAAGTCTAATGCACATTTCAATATAATGCATAATTAATATATTTAACATTGAAAAGTCTGCATACATGTCATCGTTGTGATGTATGTGTCCTAAATACTTGAAAGTAACACATCTGTTACATACCAGGAAGTCCTGTTATTGAGGTATAAAATCAATAGATGTGGACTATTTTATCATTTGAGGTATATTTGTGTTTATATTAATCAAATTTATGAATAAAACAAAACAAGATCATATTTGACATTCTCCAGATCATCTAAAGGATCAATAGAATCAGAAATACAACAGCTGGCGTACAACAACGGCTTAAAATGAAATGTTTTCGACCTTTTTTTTACCTTAGCAATCGTTGGTATGGCAATAGCAATTGATATGGTTAAATGTGAAAGAAACTACGACTCCAACAAAATTAAGGACACGGGGTGACGCAGAACTAGTTTTGATAGACACAGATAAAAGGTTGTCCATGTCCTCAAAATGCTTTGAACAACAAAGTAGAATCTTTAGCTCTCATCATATACAGAATCATTTATTAATTAGTAAGAAAAATTCAAAAATTCCATGTTCATAAGATG